TATCTATTGTTGAAAGTACTACAGATGCCCGCCCCCCCTTTTCCCACTGACCTCATTCTCCATGCACCCACCCCTCCCAGGCCTTCACCACACTATTGTCTCTCATCTTTCTCTGATGGGCTTATTCCACTTAGCATAATACTCTCCAGGTCCCTCTTTCTGTCTCAAAGGTAAGAGATCCTTCTTTTTTACAGCTGCATAATATTCTACGGTGTAAATGTACCACAGTTTTTTTTTATTATTTATTAATTATTGTATTATTTTCCATATGAGCAACTATAAACCTACTTTTGCCCCACCCTTTTGCCCACACTAATAGAGAGTGGTATTATATTGATGTTTAATTTCCTGTTTGTGTTAACTGTATTGTGGTTATGTCAGAGTACAGCCACCTCCCTCAAGGAGCTTTTGGAAAATGCTCACTGGAGTATTTATGGGTAAAGGGGCGCCACATCAACTTACTGTTAAATGGGAAAGAGAGAGAAGAGGAGAGTTTCCATAAGAAAGAGAGAAAGAAAGGCAAAAACGCAAATAAAAATGCAAACAAATGGGTCAAAGTTTGTACTATTCTTGTGATTTTTCGATAAAATGGAAATTATATCAAAATAAAAAGATCCTTCCTAAAACAAAACAAGCAAATAAACCTGCAGCTGTGGTCAGTAGCCAGGCAACCAACACGAGGCTCACCGCAGCCAGGAGGCCCATGCTTCCTGTTGGGGTGGGAGCCAGCCCCGAGTGTGGCCGTTCCAGAGCCTGCAGGAGACGACGGGCAGTCACCCGCGGGGTCGGCTTCGTTGGCTGCAACAGGTATTATGAAAATTCTGTCTGAATAATCCATAAATTGGTGTGCAGTGCCTGACAGTGACCATCATGTTCTTCCAGCAGAGAGGCCTTGTGTATAGCAGTTTTGTGTCAGATGATTCATAGATACCATGCAGCAAACAGAGACGTCATCGGTAAATGTGTGAATTGTGCTCAGATTTCATCTTTTTATAAAACTAATAATTGTGTAAGTCTTTTGTTTTTGTTACAGCCCATCAAGAAATAGAAATGTGTTTGCATCTTTTTAAGGAGGGCTGATTTCTTTTTTAATCTGGTAAGAGTTTAAGGTTAAAAGAGTTTAAGGTAAAATCAAAGTTTTCTCATTTAGTTAGAGTACAATTAAAAACACTGTTTCTCGGCCCTGGCCCACTAGCCAGGCTGCGGGTTTAACCCCTGGTCAGAGCACATATAAGAATCAACTAATGAATACACAAATAAGTGGAACAACAAAATGAATGCGCTCTCTCTCCCCACCTCCCTTTCCCCTCTGTCTCTAGAATCAATAAATAAAAATGTAAACATATATATATGTAAACA